TGTCTTTGTTTTTGTTGTTCTGGTTGTTGTTGCTCTTGTTTCTTGTTGTTGGTGGCGGTAGTGCTGTTGCTGCTGCTGCTGCTGCTGCTGCTCCTGCAGAACACACTGCTGCAGTTACTGCAATCATCCGCTGCGCTGCTTCTGCTGCTGTTGTTGCTGCTGCTCTTGCTGCTGCTGCTGCTGCTGCTGCTGCTGCAGTCGTCGAAGGCCTCCCTGACCTGAGCGACCGGCTGCGTTACCTCGTCTCGGACGCATCCGCTCCCCCAAAGCAGTGAGTTGCTGCTGCTGCTGTTGCTGCTGCTGCTGCTGCTGCTGCTATTGCTGCTACTGCTGCAGCTGCTGCTGCTGCTGTTGCTGCTGCTGCTTTTGCTGCATAAGAGCATCCTTTTCTATCTCTACGGCTGTTGCAGCAACACAAACAGCAGCAGCAGCAGCAGCAGCAGCAGCAGCAGTAGCAGCAGCACGACTCAGTGTATTTTGCGGTGTACGTACAGGTGGGAGTTGGGGTCTTATCATGCTGTAGTTCTTTCGGAGGTGATTGAGCATATATGGGGGGAGGAGAATAAAGCTGCTGCTGTTGCTGCTGCTGCAGCACGGCTGCAGCAGGGGGGCCTGCTGCTGCTGACCTCCCTCAACAGAACGCCAGAGAACTACCTCGCCTCCATCCTCCTTGCGGAGCGTCTCTTTCAAATCATACCAAAGGTAACCAATACCTAGCTAGCTAGCCAGCTAGCTAGCTAGCTGGCTAGCTAGCTAGCTAGCTGGCTGGCTAGCTAGCCAGCTAGCTAGCTGGCTGGGTAGCTAGATATCTAGCTACTCATACAGGCTTCCACCCGCCTAGCTAGCTAGATAGACCGATAGCTAGCCAGCTAGATAGTTGGATAGATAGATAGTTAGATAGCTTGCTAGCTAGCTAGCTAGCTAGCTAGTGGCTAGCTAGCTGCTGGTACCTGAGACGGCTAGCCAGACTAAATCCTAAAGCCCTAAACCCTCAACCCTAAAACCCTAAACCCTAAAACCCTAAAGCCCTAAACCATAAACCCTTTAGGTTCGTCTGCAGGACAGCCAGGCTGCCATCCGTTTAGCTGTCTACGTAGCTACATATTAACCTACCGA